AGCATGGTTGGACAAGAATAATAAAGGACTTGGCTCCAGAACTGAGCAGGAGGAAACGAGCGGCTTGGGGAGCGTACAAGAACATCGAGGGAGTAGTGAAGAAGACGAAGAACATCCGGCTCCGTGCCCACCTCTTCGATTCCGCTGTCCTTCCTGCCCTAACCTACGCCTCAGAGACTTGGACTCTGCGCAGGCAGGACGAGCATGCGGTCAGCGTTATCCAACGCGCTGTCGAGAGGACGATGCTAGGAGTAACCCTATACACGCAAGTGCAGAGGGGAATCCGGAGTTCGGAACTACGCCAACGATCGAAGATCAGGGACGCTGCCGTTTTCGCCAAGGAATCGAAGATAAGGTGGGCCGGACACGTCATGCGATATGACCGTTAAACCAGGGTGGATCCCTCGGGACGTCAAACGAACACCTGGACGACCGCCGGCCCGATGGTCAGACTTCTTCACGAAAGCTCTGAACGAAAGGAATGATGGACTTCGTGTCCCTCGAGCAAGGAGGATCCACTGGACCACCTAGCACGCGACAGGGACGAATGGCAGACAGTATTGGCGACGGTTCCTGCTCGAAAAACAACGCGACGACATGTGATTGAGGTGATGACGGAGCGCAACGAATAGTTTAACACTTTGACGACAGCGCGGGACACATACGTCCCGCACTTCACACGGAAGAGACTTGTTTTTCCTAAATTGTGCCTCCATTTTCATGCTTCAAGACTGGCCCTTCCTACTGTTGGATACGAAAAATAGTTCTCTCGTTACCACTAATGAAATTATTGGTAATGTAGTAACTGTTAATGCAAATTTGTAAAATAAGGTGAGTAGGTTTGCGCACAAGGGCGTGTCGTCAACGTGTTAAAGCAACAGTCCAGGCAGGGTTTCAACTACTTGGTCATTAGGCGGTCAAAACATGCCCCAGCCCAACTAAAGTTTATAGGAAATGTCTTTAAGTTCAAAACCTACCTCTAAAATGCGCTGGAAGGGGTCGAAGTCCTCTTGGAGGGGGCGGATCACCCATACCGAGGCGGATCGCTCAACATACGCTGTGCAGAGTCCGTGCTTGACTAGCGGTCGTTGCGGGACCGCCGCGCTGTATGAGGTCGATTCCATAAGAACGCAATTGAAGCGCTTCAATTTCGATTGCTGGCAAATAGTTATGTATTTGCAAGCATGCAGCTATTTGCCAGCAGTTGCAATTGGAGCGCATGTACTACGGGCAGGTTCGGACAACTCGTCCAACACACGTCTCCCTAAACGGCAGGGGAGTCCCTGTCTAAGCCCCTGCCCGACGTTTTTTTCTACTTTTTCTTTCTCCATTGACCAACTTCTCACCTGCAACGTCATTATAGGTGGTCCTTACCCGCGAATTCGTTCCTGGATTGTTGCTTTAAAGATTCTTCTATGGGCAAATGGCTTATACATAAATGCTCTTGTAGGGAAATTACCAGCCTACGCTGTGGAGGCGGACAAGCGGGATGTTCTGGTATACTCACTCTCGGACAGGCAACAAAGCGTGGGGAAATGGTTACGGGTCCTAGATAATCCTTAAGTTGGGTGCAGCCCATGGGGGTGTACCACTCAAGAAGTCCTGGCGATGCACGTCCACGTGTAGTCAGGTTTGTGTCTTTGCAAAGCAAGCTGAGCCATAGCTCTCTTCAACAGTTTTCATCCAATATCGAGCTATCCGGTGCATATACATAGCAATGTATGACGTTGGAGGTGAAGCAGCCAAGAGAGCTCTAGCTGCCGCTAGCTCCGCAATAAGCAACTAAGCAATCGTGCATGGGTGGTGCATCGTGATGTGCGGATGGGTTTCCCAATTCGCGTCTATCGCAACGTAACTGGCCTACAGTAGCGGTCGAAAGTGTTCGCCGAAGAGGTTTTACGTATTAGGTTGTCTCATAAGTAGTGTCGCTTTTTTTCAACCAAAAAATTTTCATCTAAATCCCATGCTTTTACATCGTCATATACCATTCGAAAGAGAATTGTCTGCTCTACAAGATGCTATGTTCCTCTTCCACCTCTGTTCCAGGGTTTTCAAATTTTAGGCCTGCGAAATGGGAGGTCCAGCCGACAAAAATTGACCAAACCGACAACTATCTCTAACTTTATCTTCCCTTGGGAGAAATCAATCAATGATGTACCCTCTACTTACACATGACCTCTTCTAAACATTACACTATTAGGTTTCCCAACAAGTCGCGTCGTTCCATTTCCAGACCTGGTTTTTCAACCAGAACTCGACGGTCAAGCACCATTACCTGAGATCGAGGTCGAAATTTTTTATAGCCGAGACATTGAAAAACTAGTAGAATTTAAAGAACAAGTCATGACTAAGTTAGGAATGTACGCCTGGTTGATTTTCTCATCTCTCAAGGATAATTTTTTCAAAGAAATGCGGTCACTTTTCGTGGACAAAGCACCTTACTCCTAACACCCTAAAATTCGAGCTAATTCCTAACAAACATCAAAACAAAACAAATGAGCGAATAGAGCAGAAGAAGTGCTCACAAAAGATACACCAGTTGATATAAAACAATAGCGTTTCAGAGGAAGAATTTCAATTTGAAAATTGCCATGGCTTATCGGTCGGCCAATTCGAAAAGAAACAGGGCAAACCTTTTTCGGCAACCTAAGGGTGGAATGTTCAGAAGAGGTCATGAGTAAGTAGAGGGTACATCATTGATTGATTTCTCCGCAGGGAAAATAAAGTTAGAGCTAGTTGTCGGTTTGGTCAATTTTTGTCGGCGGGACCTCCCATTTCGCAGGCCTAAAATTTGAAAACCATGGAACATAGATGGAAGAGAACACAACATCTTGTAGAGCAGACAATTCTCTTTCGAATGGTATATCGATGTAAAAGCATGGGGATTTAGATGAAAATTTTGGTTGAAAAAAAGCGACACTATTTATGAGACAACCTAATACATTATTCTTCCTCACCTAGCTAGATTCCGTACAGCATTAATGTCGTGTGTCTTCTAATAGTTTCGAACCCTTGGTTGAGTTCTATGAATTCAAGGCATGCGGGAGAAAATTCCTCAAAAAAAACTCGCGAGACTTCTCCAAGTGGAAGCATTTAGTGCTTGAAAAACAGTTTCGGCGAACACTTATGAATGAACTGTACATTGACACATCCCAGGAATTAGCTGCTAGCTTTCAAACCGATGAGTCGTAACTAACGGCACCAACTTTCTTCTTAGATCCAACAAAAGTTCCTTGGTTTCTGTAGCTGAGACATGGTTGTCTTCGAAAATATGTGATTTACCTTTCCTTGGTCCACCTCGAATGTTTTCCGAATTTGCCAAAAAGCTTACTGCGGTGGTGCTGTATGTTACCTAACCGGGAAATCTAACCGCTATTCCTACTCTTCGCCACAAATCTTAAAATCGCCTCGGAGAGTTTGATACAGTCCCCTCTTTGCTGTTTAAGGATGCCAGGATAAGGACGATGGTAGAGGAAATAGAAACAGACCTAGCGGAGAAACAGACGAACCTCTCAAGGGTGCGGACCGACGCACAATTGCATCGAAGGATATGCCCCGGCGATCTAGCATGGCCTTCCCCGCGGCGCAATTGGCGCGCTATTGGCGCGGTACGCCCCTCTCGCGTCGTCTCGTGTCTGAGTCTCTAGCCGTTTAGCAGAGAGAGCGTTAGCGTTGAAGAGGGCAGCACCGATGAGAGTCGCATCAATGCGCAAATCAACGGGCAAGGAAGGGTCCCATTTCTCGGGTTCTAGGCCATTTTCTCGGTTTTTTCTTCTTTCGTGTAATCATGACCGTCTCTACTTTTATTTCCAAGGGCTAACTTTTCATCGTAAAATCCGCCTTTACAACTTTGTTTAGCACACCCTCCACCTAACTATAGTTCTTAAGTTATATTGTTGTGATTTATGATTGAGAACACTGGTGGTGAAGAGTAGTGGCTCGCCAACACTGTAAATCGCGGTGATGTAGAGCCCCTCTGGGTACCAACTTAGCCCGTCAACACTACCAAAATCCTCGTACTCAGTCTGTGGCTTAGGTAATTTAGAAGACGACGATCGACTCATCGGCTCCCTGCCAAAGCTTTTCCTTTTCAATGACTGGTTGACTGTGGGATTTTAATCTCATGGATGCAGTCCCCTGAAAAAAGAAAAAGAGATTTCGATAGCATTGAAGAAAATGCTGTGAGCTCACTCTGTATTTGGCTTGGCCTAGATACATAACTCAACTGTTGACATAGTTGTAGCGAATGCTATTATAACTGAAAATTTGTAAGTGTGTCCCCTGTCGCAACGTCTGTCCCTTTTTTGTGGCATCTTTCGAAACTCTAATTTTAGTGCAGAAGTCTACTATAGTGCCTCCCCTGGCAAGTTTCATGAGAATTGGTGACGGCTCGCTTTGCAATTAATCTCTGAGACGAGATAGATGGGTTCCTTTCCTTCCAGTCAACGATTTTTATAGTTGATTTTTTTGGCGACTAATGAGTCACTTTGTGCAATTGCGTATTATTTTTGAAAAATTCCATGTTACTGTTATTTCTGAAACGTGAGCTAAGCGTGTAAGCAGATTTTGCGAGGCAGTATCCCAATTTTGAGCCCATATGGAACCCTCAGCCTCACAATGATCATTGACTTGCTTTGTCCGGCTCAGGCGAAGCCTCTGGGTTATTTCAAAGCATCTGGTATTAGTTGGCCATGGTACCCCTTTTTAGCTTTGTTTAAGTAATATTGTTGCCATTTAAGCTCGCTGACAGTCAAGCCTAGTTAATTCAGCGTTACTCTCATACAGAAAAAATATTTACAGTAATTTTCACTTTCCTCGTCAAATCAGTAACATTAAAATACAAGTGACAAAGCATTTAGCGCATAGATATTCCAAAGTACACGGTAAAATGTCAAACACCAATTTTCAGTCAAATAAGTACACGTACAAGAAAATTTTTGTGCAAATAATGTTTGATAAAAATGACAACAACAGAGTTTCTGTTACGATCCGTTAATCCGTTATGTCATGAAAACTTTCAGTGGGAAGTGATCCTGAGCGTTAGGTAGAAGCTAAATAGAGTTGATTAGTGGTAACGGTAGAAGTGATCAAAAATGGTAAGTGAGCCACGTACCGGTAAAGTGTTATGAATAAGTGAGTACGACGGTGAGATGTTCGGAGAGGTATTGCAAGGTGAGCAGTTCAGACCTTGTTGAGAGAATAAATGATGCGGCGTCAGGATACGTGAAAATACCGTATCATTACAAGGTACACCTTGATAGGACGTTTTGTCGGAAATCAGCCATGGTTCTCTGAAATAAAAGAATTTATTGATTATGGCCAGATGGCATGTTTCAGCTAAGCTAAGCGCACGGCGCGCTGCGGCACGCTCAAGGCAGGGCCAGCCGTCTCTGGCCGAGTTGTCGGACGTGGAGGAGGTGGGGTATTAAGTGGAGTGGAGCCTCATTTCTAGGAGTCATCAGAATGAAGTTTCTTTGGCAGGTGGAATGCTTACAGCGAAGTTTTTGAAAAAGGGGGAAAAATTTCTGACTTTCGGCAATTTTGCCATTTCAATGATTATGCTCCCTTTTACCCTGTCCCCCTCCTCCCTGTCGACTCGCTTTTGAGCTTTTAGTTTTGGAGGCGAAACTGGATGTGTGACAGGGTGAACCAGCTTGAACGATATCATTCAACGCCTCTATCAACACCAACGGAGCATGAATGGTGAAAAAGGGGAGGGCATATGTCGCTACAATTGACCCAGAACCAAAGCTATGGTGTAGGTAAGCTAACCGCTCAGCTTACCCTTGCTGAGACTCCAGGCCTGAATTATGGCCACTAATAGCATTGTATGTACCGTGTCAGAATGTCAGAAATCTAACCTGATGACTGGATCCTTCTGCTTCTGATTCCCTTCGCAAAGTCCAAAGAGTTCGCCCAATTCTGAGATTTCAGAGATGCATTGACTTATAGTCATAAGAGAAGGAATGATCAGAAGAAGAGACGAGACCCTGAAGCGACTTTTCTTGAAATGCCAAAGTTTGCAGTGGTTCCTCATACGTGAAGGTTCGGACTTACCGTAATGATGCATCAATGACCGAGAATGACTGGTTGAGGTAGCTATAGAGGGCTTTGAGCAGTGCGTCTCTTGCTTCGCGAAGCATATCTCGGGCCTGTGACGATAGGCCAACGACATCAGGATTGAGCAAAAGCAAGGCCTGGAAGGAAGGTTTCCTAGATAATCGAACCAATGAAAAATCGAGTTTTCTCACCTTGAGGCAACTAAATTCGGCCTGATCAGCGCGCAATCGCCGAAGTGGGGTAAGCAATTCCTCGAAAACGCGAGAGAGTACCGTAACGATGGACGACGCATGCGAGGCAGACAGCACGAGAATCTCATCGTTCGGCAGCAACAAGTGCGGAAGTGACATGCTTCTCTGTACCGTACTCAGAAGAGCGAATGACGGTGAGAACTGCTTCAGTAGCTGCATCTATAAGTAGAATCAATCATGCTTGCCATAACTCTGTGAGCCGAGGATGCCAAACGACCCTCACGTCCTCTGCCATGTGCTTGTCACACTACCTTGTCAACAAATGGGATCTCCGGTAAAGGATGAAGCATATTTGCCCATCCAATGATGTGATTGACCGTTCTTTGTCTACTAGTACGGCAATCAGTATCTTCTCGGAGCAGCCTGTCCATGTTTTGACTGCTGACAGCTCGATGCTCCACATCGACAAGCATTTGAAGAAGTCGACATGAAGCGCTCGCGTTCGAGTCCTGCTCAAAATATAAGAGATAATTCAAGATTTTCTCAAGAGCTCATAAGAAACACTTTCTTTTCTCATTTTTATTTTTCTTTCTTATTTTCTTTTCTTTGATTTGATTTCTGTTTGCAAGGCTCACGAGGACCAGAGCACAGAGAAGCAGGAATCCCGCAATTTTTCGCGCCTCTGACCAAATTCCGGTATTTATGGGGTCCCGAAGCTAGCAAAGTTTATGTGAATGCTAGTGATTTTTCTACGCAACAGTAAAGCTTCGGAGTTTTGTGAGAGAAGAGAATCTAAGAAAGCGTCATTTTGTTTTCTGGTAGGAAGCCATGACAGATGTTAGTTCAAGCGATTACCATTCAATTACCTAAACGACATTTTGATGGATGTGGTGGCCGTGGCACACCAAAGCATCACGATGAATGCTTTGGCGTGCCACGCCCATCGCTTCGTCGGTTTGTATCACCCCTCGCGAGTTGCACCGAAGAGCTCCGTTCAGTAACTCAAAGATTTCTGTTATTTGACAACCTTCTTGGGTATCACGTGGAACGGATGAGATTGTGATTGTGATGATAGGATTGTTTTTTCAGGTACGGCAACTTTTTAGGGTAATGAACAGTGAACACGGAAACCGGAAGAATGCCCAGCTTGAAAGTTTTACCGTACTACTTCCACAAATAGTGATAAGCAGAGTATTCACGTGATACTGATAAAAAAAAATCCGAAGGGCAAATTACCATTTTTGGCGATGGGACGCTTTCAGAGTCCGAGGTATCATCTTGATTCGTCATGGTACGCTTCCGACGTTTTGTGCTTCCAATTCGATCACGCTCATTTTGAATTGCTGAAAAAGAGCGAGTGCTAAAAAATCTATCAGTGGCCCTTCGAATCTGGAGTTCAAATCAAAATGCTCTGTGGAAATTGGAAAAAATTCGGAATATTTCAAAAGTCAAAAGGTTGTTTTGTTTGATTTTTTGAAATCTCACCTTCTGGTCGCATTCCAACAGCCAGGCATTTTTGAAAGCGGCAGTACCGGCAAGCGTTTCGATGATCTTTGTCAATGCTACAGGCCTTCTCGAAGCGGCACGTGTATTGAAGGTTTTGAAACACGCTGAAAACGAGCATTGTTTAGTCCTCGGGTCGTACGGTATATATCACAGCTATATTACGTTCAGGGCGGAAAATATCTAGTTTTCTCTTTTTTTTGCTTTCATTTGCCTTCTTACAATAAATATTCTCGAGCGCTCATATGGCCACAGGTAGCGGCAGTACCGCAACGCAACCGCTCGCGTCATTGCTTGTAAAGCTCTTGACGTCCAATGTGAGGAGATGTGGCTATGGAAACCTAGCGAAAGCATTACCACAGCAAGATCTTACATAGTCAAGCGCTTGAACCTGTTAGCAACTGACCATTGGCAGTTTGCCTCAGCAGTGAAAAACCGAAATGTAAGGTTGAACAATACCCATTGCAAAACTTCCCTCCCAATTTTTGTAGATTTAATTGACATTGGTAGCCAAAGTCAAACACAAGAGACAACGTGCACCCCTCTAAAGTTAACCCTTCACATTTGCTACAATTTTTTTGGTATTACCATTTCGTCTTCTTCTTTTCGCATTTTCCCGCATCCAGTCTGTCATAAATAATTCTAATCATTTGTCCCTTCATCAATCATTCCTTAATTTTCGAGGGCTTCAGAATTTTTTTTTTCGAATTATCCCTTTTTCACAAATATGAAAATCGATACCTCCGTCTGAAGAAACCTTTACAGCCGTTGCAGGCCACGGCTCCATAGTGTTTGCCAATTGCCTTGTCACCACATACCACACAAAGATCAGAATTTAAGCACTGGCTGGAGACAGTCGGGGTTGTGAATGGGTCCATTCTGAAATGGGCAATATTAGACCTTAGTCGGTAGTGATGACATCGACGACAGTCGGCGCTCGGCTACGATGTGGGTACGTGAGATCACGGGAGTGAGAACTGGTTATTCAGTAGCGTTTTGAAAAGCAGCATCAAACTTCAGCGATCGCTGCCAACAGGGCACATATATTACAAATGTGTAGCAATAAATAGTAGACAAGTAAATATGGCTGTGTAATCCACTCCCGTGTTCGTCATTTTTTGAACTCTGCAGTTCTTATGAAACTTATTACCGCTCAAAAAATAGCTCTTTATAAAAGGATACATAAAATAAAAAGGATAAAGCATTTGCCGTTGATCAATCCCTTTTTGGGATGCGGCACGCATTCTACTTCCATTTGTACATTCGTAGTGGCGTTTGAATGCGATGTGGCCTATACAATGACTTGCGGGGGCCAGCCGATGTACAAGTCAGTGTTTTTATCCTCCCAGACAAGTCTGGTACCAATTAACCGAATTTGATCCCCGGATCGCGCGCGTGGTAAGCGTGCCACTTGCCACTACACCACTTACGCCCAACTCTTCATACTGTGCAGTAACGAATACTTGAAACATGTGTTCATCAACAGTATGTGAGCGTTAGGCTGTATTGATGAGATGAAAGGAAAGAAAAATGACAGATGATCCTCCGTTCAATCTGGACGCGCCATGCGCTAGAAAATGGTGATTGAATTAGCACCGATCGCTCAAAATCCCTCACAGGCAACAGTCACACACCGTTAGCTCTGACCACGAGAGCTCGGTCTATTGGCTACACAGAAGAAGTTCAACAAATAGACGCAGTGAAAACCAGTGGCTCCTCAGTTCTTTTCCTTTCTGAGAAAATTACTTCAAAATGTGATAAAAATTGTAACAAAACTGACATATTTGTAGGTTGCAATACATAAAATTTACACACGGAAAAAAGCTATTATTCTATTAGTGTGATATTCAAATGAATTGCATACAGTAAACATTTCCAGCAGCCCATCAGCTGGATATATTTCATAGGCAGTTATTGATAGCAGGGTTAACCATCTGTTCCAAACTTACAAACGACGGGGTCTTATTTCAGCTTCTTGGAGGAGATTATGAAGGCGGAAGTTACGGGACTGTAAACAGTGGAGGGAGCAGCGTTTTTTGGGTGACCTCCTCACGTGTGATGATACGCAGGGTCGTAAAATTTTTGTCATTTTTTCCAACTTCACGGTTGACCCCGATTGATGATCGTTGATCTTCGTAACAGGGAACACTAAGACCTCCTTTTATTAGCAGTTATAGTGAAATTGCCTGAAGACTTATCGATCAACCGCTCCTTACTAATTATTCCCCTGGACATTAAAATTCGAGGTTCAACCCTGGAATGTCATTTTATTTGTGTAGCGGATTCACAGTGCTTTTGGTTAGTAGCAAATCGTTGGCAAGCAACTTTACTCATCCCATGGGAGATCCTTGATTTTGAAAAGATAAAAGATGAAGCAGCTTCGAAACGAAGTCGGGCTTGACCACGTACCACGCCGTTGTTGTCACCTAGAGAAAAACTGTATCCTGAACGCTGTAGAGCTTGACCACCATGGTGAGCTTTCAAATGACTTCTCAATACGTATAAAAGTTTGTCATGACAGGGGTATGAACAGATTACATTCACAATTAGTTGTAGCCATAGGACGTGATCGTTACCAGTAAAGCTGGTCATTGTAGTCAATATAATTGCGATACCATAGTCGAAGTATTATAGTAAAAGTAGGTCATTCTCCCCAGTAAAAATGGTAGGTCGAGGTTAGTGGGCAATGTGGCAGGCAGCAAACCTGACATGGTAAGAATGTGGGCGTCGGTCTAGAGGTAAAAGTTCAGCTGATAGATAGACTAAAGATAAAGCGAATGTCGCTGCACGTATACCGGCGTTATCTGGCACGCATGCCGTACAGCCGTAATTACAGATGTCGACAAACGATCGGCAGAAATCAGATGGATGATGGCATAAGTAGAAGAGAACCCATCGGAGTCAAGCATGTCGACAGAAAAGAGTAGGTCATCTGAACGCTCCAGAAATGCAGTAGGAAACAAACTGAAGCTGATTTACCCCTTCTCGGTACGTACGTGTTTGATTGAACAGTCCTGATAAGGACCGACCGTGGTAAAAACGGCCGAATGGTGCACGTACACCAGTGGTTATCTGGCACGCAAAATGATAACGCAAGGCAATTCAATGAAGCATCAAGCCTCAGTAGCGACGACAAGTGACTAAGAACAGTATTATGGCATGATTCTGCAAACCGTGCTTCAAGGAGATGATTCACACGAGCCACCACGCTGGTAACGGACGAAAGAATCATTGGGTTCGTGGCGGGCGTCTTGCGAAGAGCAGTCACATATTACCGAAGATCATCGTTCACTGTGAAACTACGTCATCGCACCTGGTCGGAAAGCCGGTTCCCAAGAGGACATAGCGAGCCGAAACACGACGCGCAGACGATGGAGATAGCGTGGAGACCAACAAGAGAAAAACGCTCGAAAAATGGCTAGGGAACGTTGACGTTGCGGAGCGCCATCGACGCTGAACTAACACGTCGGAATGATCTGTGTTGGTCGGCCGTGAACCTCATCGCATGCGACAACATTAAAAGAACAGAGACTTTTCTCGCTTCCGTCACTGGCACAAGTTCCACAGCCGACGTGAGAAAATTCGAACCTGAACAATGGGACCATAACCATAAAACATCACAATGTTACTTACGACAGATCAACCCAATCCCGAGCATACTTGGAGTTGCACATTAGTTTCGGAAACCAAACCCGGAAATGTCATAAGAGTCAACTCTGCACAAAATGTGCACCGCAGCTTCCAAAATGCTTTTTTTTCGGAAAACAAGAGCGTTCGGAAATTTTAGAGATTGTGCAAATGCGTAGCTCCTCTTCTAGTCGTAATACATTTTTTGAGTGAGGTCAAGGGTGGAGTCACATCTTCTAGAAGCCTTGATTGAAGCAGTCGTAAAACAAGCAGAAATGGAGCGGAAGGGTTATCACAGGATGATTATAAAGTGTTTCAAACATGTGGTAGTTCAACTATGTCTTTGGACCTTGCAAAGCAGCATGGCGCTGCTCATTTCAGGCTGGAAAGAAAGCTGGCGGGCACTGATCAGGAAAGTCTTTCGGGACATGGAATGCTTTTTCAAAACGGTTTGTTACGTTATAGGGGCACGTGCGTGGAGCATAAATCTGATGATCATTTTTTTTCTGAGCGGCCCTGGAATTGCCAGAAAAAGGGCAGAAATTTTCCTGAGAAGTGAAACTTTTCCATTTTTAATAAATTCTACAGCATTTGTAGAGTTGAATAGTTGCATTTTGGAAGCTTTTTGTTCACTGAATAAGTTTAGACATATATGAGCCCAAGAAAGTGGAAATCAGAGAAATGCAAAAATTTGTCCTCAGTGGGGATCGAACCACAAGCCATGGTTTCGACATGTTTTTTTAGCATTCCCAGAGCCGCTCAAAAAAAATTATTCTCAGTTTTATGCTACGTGTGCGTGTCTCTGTAACTTACAAAAATACCGTTCTGAAAAATTCCTGTTGAGCACCTTTTCCTGTACCTCTCAGGATGAAAAAATTACTACCCATCTTCAGGAGAGATCGGAAAAGCCTTCTGATGTTAAAGGGAAATGATTACGGTAGGACACTTATTCCTTAGACAGCGACTCTTGGAAAACTGAGATATTAGTTTGTTTCGTGGCAGTTACCACTCGCGGAAACAATCCACCTGGGATGATGTGCGAACCATATGCGTGCTAGCACCAGGGTCAACCCTACCGTTTGGACTTTTTGAAAAATTTTTACGACCCCCCTCCTTCATGAGAGATTTCATACGACCCCTTCTTCACAACTTCTTTTTCCCTCAAAAACACCGTCGAGGGAGGGGGGTATATAACTACCATGAAACCGCAAAAATTTCCTATATTTCCCTTTACTTTCCCTCATTTCCCCTCTATTTTACCTATCTTCCCACTACCACATCTCATATTTTCTGTGGGCGGAGGGGTACATTCCCACGGTGAAACGGCAAATTTTCTCCGCGCGCTCTCACCTCATTACATATAATTTCGTGCTACCAAAAACAACTACACCTACCCCCCCCCACCCCCGGTTGGTACTTGTCCCAACGTAGGGTTGACCCTGGCTAGCACCTACTCTTGTCACTACACCATCTCTGTCATAATGAGAAATTTGGAACTACATGTTATCAATTTAATTGTAATTTACGATTACAAGTTTTACGATATTACGAACCCAAACATGACGTGCGTTCAATACGTCTTTGGTAACTACACACGCTGACCTGGCTCTACGACTTGCCTTGATGGCCTCTCCAGAACGAGTCGCCTGAACATGTGGCGAACAGTTTTCAGAGTGAAGAGCACAAAGTCTTTATTTACGGATAACTCTACCTTTAACCGGGTCAAGAAAACACCGCCGAGCGGGCTGGGTGGGGTGGGTATATAGCTACTATGAAACCGCAAAAATTCCCTATATTTCTCTTTACTTTTCCCTCACTTTCCCTCTATTTTATCTATCTGAAGCTGTCTCAAGCATTTCTTGAAACTGTAGTATGTAGTACCATTTGACTATGGGTAATAGATATGCAGCAATAGTGACCGAAGTATTGGAATAGCCTTGTAGGGTTTGAAACGGCCGAGCAGTACAACAATAACAATTTCTTGTTACCTCAGCTTACTTGTAATTGTTCCAATTGTTAAAATAAAATTCACATAGGTAATGTGAGCTGGATTCGTTACAGTTACCGTTGTAACCAGTGCCGTTGTGATCCCAAGTTGGCCAGCCGACGTCACTCGCCCAACGGTCTTTCGCAGAAGATGAGGAAGGTAGCGCGTTCCATTCATCAAACACGCAATCCGAAGTAAGCGATGATGATTCTCTCCGGGAATGCGATGTTCGGCTCTATAATTATTCACGAACTCCTCCAGGTA